AGTCGTAAAAAAATTAATTTTGCAAAACTCGAAAACTAAATAAAATTTGGAAAAATCGTTTCTTGAAAAACAATCACATTTTTATCATATTCCATAAAATGCTAATCAATTAGTTAATGTAAAAAACGCTTGATTTCATACTTTTTGTTCACCTGGTGTAGTACATAATTTCCCTCCCCCATAATTAAAAAAATCATTCGTTTTGTGCTTTATCGTTTAAGGGAACGGTAACCATATCATTAATATCTTTCAATTCTTCACCTTCAAAAGTGTGAATTTCAGTAGGCATTAAAGTTTTATTAAAGTAAAGAAGCCACAATAGACAAACAACCATCATGGCTGTGGTCAAACCAAAAGTCCAAATGGTACCAAATTCCTCATAGATGTAGGTGACAAAGACTGGACCCATGACCCGTGACAAACACCCAGAACCCGTCATTAAACCCATCCAAACTCCCTAAAACCACAATTCTTAAACAAAAAAAAAATAAAAATAAATTAAATCACCTGAGGTCGCGGCCCTAGCAATTTAGAGAAAATCGTTTGAATCAGCGTCACCCCAATTGGGTACCCAAAGGCCGTCAGGAAGTAGCCAATAATGAACTGAGTTAAGGTCATAGCAGGCGTGTAAGTGCACCATTCCTGGCTTGAAGGACACCCAAGTAGATCTTCCCCACAATTCAAAGTCACATTTCTAACATTTCCTTCATTTTTTATCGTCCACGTAGAAAAATCATAATTTTCCACAGTTCGGTTAAATAACACTTTATCACAGATTAGAGTCAGATTCAGTTTCAAATCCGAATCGTACATTTGTGGCGGATCGTTATTAAAAGGGATATAAATCGCTCGGCCCAAAACCATGAACAAAAACCCACCCCAAATCATGACTTTCACTTCGGAAAACCTCTTGCAAAGGGGTGAAATCGACGCAAACGTGACTATTGCCAAAACCGCCCCCACTGACATCAAAATCCCCATATATTTAAGGGAGGCTGCTTTCGACCACGCGAATTGGTCCATGGTGACCGGCGTTCCAAGTGTCTCCAACAACATGAAATTGAAAACGATCACAAAAAATGCCACGATTAGAGTCCACGTGGCGAAATAATCGGGCCGGTGTTGTTTCCACGTGTCGCGTTCGTTGTCTTTGCCCTGTTTCAACATGGCTTCTCTCCCGGCGATTTTGTGCTCTTTGAACACGTGTGGAAGGAAGAGGTACATGTTGAAGAGAGAGAAGATTACGTTTATCCAGCCCGAAGCTGTATACATGTTCAGTCTGAGTCGATTTGGGATTAGCCAAAACCCATCGTCTCCCAATGGTACCACAGCGGCTTGGATCGCTGGACCCACGATGAAACCCAGGACTTGGGCTAGGGATATCATCGAGACGGCGGTGGTGCGTTCGGAGACTCGAGTGGCGGCGGAAAGGTACGATCGGCAAGCTGCTATATTGGCTGGAAGGAGGAAATAGTCAGTGTTGCCAGGTCTGGTGAAATTTCACTAGATCTGGTGATTTTTATACCAGTTGATTTGGTGTAAAAATTCTAATTTCTGATGATTTTTTTTAAAAACGTAACACACAAAGTAATCTTTCCACCATGTATCTAATTATTAATAACATCTGTCCAACAGCCCTGATGATGAAATAATAAAATTTCGAAACGTCGGCTATTTAAGGAAAAGTTTTTTATTTGTCCTCAACTCGTGATCCACTATATAAACAAATGATGCAGGACGTTAACACAACATTAATTTAGTGTTAATTCTGTATTAAAATCGAGAAAAATTGAATTGAAAATAGCTCAAATTTCTTTATTTTGAAAGAAAACTCTTATTTGGTTGAAATACTTTGATTCAGGTTGATTCCCGGCTTYAAATTGAGCCAAATCGATTGAAAACATCACAAATTGCTTTATTTCAGCCTAAAATTGAGATTGAAGCAATTATTTTTATAAAATACATAAATTTTGAATTAATTCTGTATTAAAATCGAGCAAAATTAAATTAAAAATAGCTCAAATTGCTTTATTTTTGAACATAACTCTTATTTAAGCCATTAGTTTGTTAAAATATTTCAATTCAGATTGATTTTCGGCTTAAAATTAAGCCAAGTTGATTGAAAATATCACAAATTACTTTATTTCAACCTACAATTGAGATTGAAGCAATTATTTTTATAAAATGCATTAATTTAGAGTTAATTCAGTATTAAAATCGAGAAAAATTGAATTGAAAATAGCTCAAATTTCTTTATTTTGAAAGAAAACTATTATTCAAGCAAGTATTTGGTTGAAATACTTTGATTCAGGTTGATTCCCGGCTTAAAATTGAGCCAAATCGATTGAAAACATCACAAATTGCTTTATTTCAGCCTAAAATTGAGATTGAAGCAATTATTTTTATAAAATACATAAATTTTGAATTAATTCTGTATTAAAATCGAGCAAAATTAAATTAAAAATAGCTCAAATTGCTTTATTTTTGAACATAACTCTTATTTAAGCCATTAGTTTGTTAAAATATTTCAATTCAGATTGATTTTCGGCTTAAAATTAAGCCAAGTTGATTGAAAATATCACAAATTACTTTATTTCAACCTACAATTGAGATTGAAGCAATTATTTTTATAAAATGCATTAATTTAGAGTTAATTCAGTATTAAAATCGAGAAAAATTGAATTGAAAATAGCTCAAATTTCTTTATTTTGAAAGAAAACTATTATTCAAGCAAGTATTTGGTTGAAATACTTTGATTCAGGTTGATTCCCGGCTTAAAATTGAGCCAAATCGATTGAAAACATCACAAATTGCTTTATTTCAGCCTAAAATTGAGATTAAAGCAATTATTTTTATAAAATACATAGATTTTGAATTAATTCTGTATTAAAATCGAGCAAAATTAAATTAAAAATAGCTCAAATTGCTTTATTTTTGAAGAAAACTCTTATTTAAGCCATTAGTTTGTTGAAATACTTTAATTCAGGTTGATTTTGTTCTTAAAATTGAGCCAAATTGATTGAAAATATCACAAATTACTTTATTTCAACCTACAATTGAGATTGAAGCAATTATTTTTATAAAATGCATTAATTTAGAGTTAATTCAGTGTTAAAATCGAGAAAAATTGAATTCAAAATAGCTCAAATTTCTTTATTTTGAAAAAAACTCTTATTCAAGCGGTTTCAGCAGAAAATTAATGTATTTTGAAATGTGTTTCTAAATCGAGTATTCGCCCAAATTAACATCTTTAATTTGATTTTTTAATTATTTAATTATTGATATAGCAAATTCAGTCAAAAATGATGATACTATTTTTTGAGCATTTTGCACGTTTTTTAGAATCTCAAATGCTAATTCTTTTCAAAAACAAGTTGAAAAATCAAGAGGTAGTTTTGTTTTTCTAAATGATATTTCATCAAACAAGGTGAAACAATGGGCCAAAAGTACATTATTTTGTCTATTTCTCAGTGTTTTAGTATGTTGTTAGGCAGAAATAGAACTATTTTGCAAAATTTCGTTAAAAACAAACCAAAAATTTATCAAATTAGGCCAAAATTAGGCCAAAACCAGTGTTATTTTTGCAATTTTGGCAATAATAATATTACCAAATTAGATTGAAATTGACATCATTTTAGGTGTCTCGCTCGATCTAAGTCGTTTTTTGAACCAGAGACTCATTTATTTTGCAAGATATTCTTAAAACATTCTTAAACACAACAAAATAAATTTAAATTGATGTTATTTCGTTCGTTTCATTCGATTTAGCATTTTTTGAGTCTAATTTTGTCAAAAAAAAAAATAGGACGAAAAATAAAACAAACCAAAAAAATATATCAAATTAAGTCATTATTTTTGCCTTTGTCAAGTGTTTTAGCATGTTTTTAATTAAAAACGTAAATATTGAGTGACTGTAAATTATTCTCATTTTTACCTCAAGTTGGTGTCATATTCAAAATTTTAGTTTGGCAACCTTGACTTTCAAATTAAACGTCATATATAACAAATTTAGAAAGATTACGAATAATTATTCATTGTTGAAAATAGTTTTTTTGTCACAAACATTAGTAGTTATCCGGTATTTCGCTAAATTTCATAAAAAATAGCCAAAAAAATTTAATTAGACTAAATAAAATAGCGTTACTTATTTTTGCATTTTTTGAGTATTTAAGCACGTTTTTGAGCAGATTTGCGAGATTTATGTAAAACCTTCGACGGTATTAAAAAAAACTAAAACAAATATTATTGTAATTTGATGAAAATAGTTTTAGAAAATAGGTTTAGACAGAAACAACTATTTTGCAAAATTTTCTTAAAACCAAACCTAAAATTTATAAAATTAGAACTAAAACTAGTGTTTTTAGAGTGTCTAAGCACGTTTTTTTTTTGCTAAATCTGACTGAAAAATTACCAAATTAGATTGAAATATCATTTTAGCGTATTTCGCTCGATTTAGTTCGTTTTTGAACTAGAAACTCATTTATTTTGCAGGACATTGTTAAAACATGCTTAAACACAACAAAAATAAATCTAAATTGATGTTATCTTGTTTGTTTCATTCGATTTAGCTCTTTATGAGTAAAATTTTGTCAAAAAAATAGGACGAAAAACACAAAATATTGTTGAAAATGGTGTTGATTGCAAGATTTTGCTAAAACAAACCAAAAAAACATCCAATTAAGTCATTATTTTTGCATTTATCAAGTGTTTTAGAATGTTTTTCAACTAAAAATCTAAATATGGGGCGAATGTAAATGATTTGGTATCAAATTTAAAACTTAATTTGGCAACCTTGACTTTCAAATTCTGATATAAAAAATTTAGAAGGATTAGTAATAATTCAGTGTCGCCAATAGATTTTTGTCACCCGGTATTTCGCAAAATATAATTTAAAAAAATAAATAAAATAGCGTTAACTATTTTTGAATTTTTCGTTTAAGCATGTTTTTGAGCGGATTTGTGAGATTTATATAAAAAAAAATGGATCTTCGATAGTATTAAAAAAATTTAAATCATATAATCAGAGTAATCTAGTGAAACTAGGTGTAAATCTAGTAACTTATCAGGTCAGATATGGTAAATTTAATTGTTTTCGCTGGCTACACTGAAAATAGTATATTAAAAACGCGTTTATGAGTTATGAAACAAGTTTTTTATTTTATTATAAATAATATTTTACGCGTTTTACGTACTTTTTTTAACATAAAAGTCGATTTTTTTAAATTTAGGAAGTTTTGCCTTAATAAGGTAATAAATGTCACAAAGTTAGAAAAATTCGATTTTTTAGTGTCAAGTCCCGAGTATTTTTCAAAAAACCATCTGAAAATCACCATTACCAACCTCTAAAAAGTAAATTGTACTAGTCTATTTCAGCACCTGAATTGGTGTTGAAATGGCTCATTAAAGCATCCGTTTTAGTATCGAAAGCTTTCTTTCAAACGCAAAATAGAAAAATACAGATAAATAAGTTGCAATACCTGAGCTAACTCCCACCAGAAACCTGGTCCACAACATCCAATGCTTCCTATAGTCATTGAACAACTCCAACGAGGAGTAAATTGCACTAGATGTCGTGAAAAGTGCCAATGAACACAGTAAAGGGACCCGAATTGAGCCCAATCGGTTGCTCCACCAGCCCACCAAAGGAGAAAAAAGCATTTGGCCAAAAGGATTGGCCGCAACGATGTAGCCCATAAATTCTTTTCCAGCAGTTGGGTCTAACTGAAATTTTTTCCAATTACTTCACTTTTATTAAGTTATATTGTGGCTTACTTTGTCCAAATATGGCCATACTCCTGTGACTATTATACTAAATCCTAAAGAAATTAAAAACATTGTGAAATAAATTATGTAAATTGATCGCCATCGTTCTTTGTATTCTTGTTCGGTTTCAAGACTATCATCGAAGTCTTTATTTTTTGATTTAAATTTTTCGCGGATGAGTTTTGCGGTTCGTTCGAACCAAGATGATTCATCTGAAACAATTAATTACTGCAGTTAGGTCATCGAGCCTTTAGGAGTTTGATTTTTTTTCTTTCACTAAATCTACTATATCTTTTTTCTTCTATTATCTCTTGAAATTAAGGCTAAAGAAGACAGCAAAGTTAAACCAAGTCACTGTTGTCGATATTTTCAATGTTAAATCACAAAATTAAGACATTTAAAATTTACGCCAACGAAAAATAGTTATTTATTATACAAATTAAATTTTATCTTTGAGACCAATTTAGTTTTAATATGCTCGAAAAGATAATGAAAATTTTATCGTCGTGTACAATATAAAATTTTATTCATCCTCACTAATTTTGTAGTCAATTTGGTCGATATTTATAAATGTCAAAGTAAAATTCAACAATGAAATCTAATCGTTAGCAAGTAACAACCGCAGCTATACAACAATGGATGTATTTTTTTATCATCTAGACGATAAAATTTCATTTTAACATGAAGAAACGAGTAGATAAAATTCAATTTTAACATAGAGGATTGAATAAAAGATATTTCCCTTTTTTTTCTTTACATAAATATTCATATCTAAAAACTTAAACAGCTAAAAGAGGTGAAAGATGCGTGTTTTTTAAGAGTTGATCTAAGGACAGAAATTAAATCATTTTAAAAAGTTTTGTTAAAAGTAAGAACCGATAAATTTTAGGATTAATAAAACGATTATTTTGATTATTTCAATTTTTTTAAGAGCATGATTTAATTTTTGAAGATAGAAAAAAACTTTAAAATAACTTCTGGCAGCTGAAGTAATGCTAAAAAATTTATGAACAAATATAGATACTTCATTGACTTAAATAGTCAAGGATTTTGGTAAAAGACATACTTTTAGTAAAATTGTATCCCATAACGTGAGGTCCGTCGATAAATGCGATTAATAGAGATGGGTCTTTTTTGTTCCATAAAAAGATCACAAAATTTATTTGTTACTGGAAGTTGGGTTTTCCTTTATTTTTTGTTTTTATCTAAACGAAAGTAAATACTTTTTGTTAAAATTGTCCTGTTTCAGAATTTTTACCAGATTTGGGCGCAAATTTTACTTAGGAATCCTTGTATAAAAGCTGGCACACCAAAAAATCAAAAATAAAAATCACTCAACAGTTGACCTCTTTATTATCTAGTGATTTATGCATGACTACAAATTGACAAAGTTCACTATAAGAAAGTGTCAACATAAAAAAAATTATCGTAATTGTTTACTAATAAATAAAGTATTAAGAACATCAAAGGTCGTATGTACATTGTGCTAAAAGAGGTCCAAGATGCCTGTTTTTTAAGGGTTAGCTAAGTTAAAAACAAAAATTAGTAAATAAAATTGCTGAATTTTTTAAAAGAGTTTTTTAAAAATAAGATATGGCAAATTTTAAAAACGATTATTTTGATTATTTTATGTTAAAAGCAATTTTTTTAAGAGCATGATTTAATTTTTGAAGATAAACAAAACTTTAAAGTAACTTCTGAAAACTGAGGTAATGGTAAATAATAATTTCAAAAATGTTTATTAACAAATATAGATACTTCATAAAAAAATCATCTTCGTGAGAGGATATAAGCAAACTTATTCTTCTGGTTCCCTCATTTTCATTGACTTACATAGTCTAGGATCCAAGCCTTTCGGTAAAAAAAAA